GAGAATGGCTGTACGACATCATAGAATGGAGTGGACGCAGTGGACATGACCTGTTCCACCTGGCACAAGATCGGAGACAATGGAAAAACATTATCCGATCAGTGGTTGGCCCCAACGGGTGATAAACCCATGGGACATAGTGAATAGTGAGTTGGGAGTGACAGTTTGATAAATGAGAATATGATAACTAAATACTTTTTAATGAAATTGTATTCATTGGAATACTGAGTTGATTTCACGATATAGACGAGTCCATAATAAATGAATAACTTATAGGAATATTTTTTCGATGTGTTTTGATTATTTCAGAGAAATTATTGGATATTGAAAACAGATGAGAATGAATACGAGGTATATTAATTGTTGAGAGAGGGAAGATTCTTTTCAAAAATTTTTCTTTCTAATGAAAAATATCATTGAAATTCATTAAATAAATACATTAATTCTATTTAATTAAGTATTTGAAATTAATAATATGATTCATAGATTGATAACAAATTAATAATCCTAATCAAATTTTATTCCAAAAACAATGTGCAGAAAAGAAATAATTGAACCATTGTTTTGGTATAAATCATGTTGTGACTCTTATTCGAGCAGGATTTTTAATAATACATGTATACGTGTATTTCAAGGAAGAAAAACAGATTTTAAAAGTTTTCGGAAGATCTCAAACAATTGTAAATTTTACTCTACATATACATTTATAAAAATAAAAAAAACAAGCTGAAATTCTAGAATATAGTAGATCTAGATACCTAGTGTATGTACTCAAAGCGTAAATCGTTTCAACTCTTGGAATATAACAGAAAATAATATTGTTTGAAAGAATTACAACTTATTTTAAATCTGTTAAACACAGTTCACATCACGAATTTTCTTGCAATATATATTATAATATGATGAAATCTGATTGTCATGGTATTCATATAATTTTCTTGGAAATAAGATCCGTTCTGTAACCGTTTCAATAAAAATCTACATTGTCAAATATTTTGAGTATCAAGAGACAGTTTTATAGATAAATTTCGACATGATAATTGTTTTGTTTTGATTTTTGTAGAAATATCTTCCTAAGCGCCAAAAATCGGTTAGAATGATCAGAACTCTATAAGAGAATAGTATGCCAAGAAATTTTTTTTAGACTTCCTCTAGACCCCTCAAGTTCTGATTATAAGTCTAACTTCACCTTGATTTTTCGATTGGATGTTCCCTTCTTAATTCTAGAGAAGCACATATTTTCTACAATAATTCATATAATACATTTTCTTTCTAATTCTTTATTATCAAAGTGCTTATATTGATCTTAAAAGGCATCTCTTCTGATATCTAGATAACCAATAATTTCCATAAAATTCTCCTATGAAACATTTTTTTAATTTATTATATCGACATTTATTTTTCTTTTCACTCGAAATATTTTCAGCTTCTATAGTAATTAGTACAGTAATAAAGATAAAAACTAAAACATTTTGCACATGGAAAATATATTTTTTTTTTATGAAAATGATTCTTTCATTCAATATTCGCTTTGAAATCTATGCAGAATAAATCTTTACGAGAATGTAAAAATAAAAGAACTTTCATGCTTCTGACAAATGTAGATAAGACAAAAGAACAACAAGTAACATTTATAATGATAAGATGTAAAAGAATCTAAAAACGCTATTAAAATCTTGATTTACAGAAGAGCAAATACATTAACTTTCATGAGTTACCATTGATAACAATCTACCTATGTAGTTAAATCATAAAAAAATTGACAGCAAGAAGCAAATCAAAGCTGTGTAAGTATGAATATCAGGGTAAAGTATACTAATTATAAATTTGTCCTATTCGAAAATAACTATTTAAAAATAATTAGTTTTTGATAATTGGTGCAGTAATTTCAATTGTAATTGCTCTTGGACTTGGCCTAATCATTGGGCATTTCGGTATATCTAAGAAAACAAGTGACAGTTCTTGGAAATATCATCGTCTCACAAAACCAGCTGATCCAAAAAACTTTCAAACATTTATCGATTCTATTCAAGCAGCTAATATTGAAACAAATCTTAAGTAAACATTATCAAATTTCTACTTTTCAAGAAAAATACCTAGTTTAAATAAAATTATATAGAGATCTCACTTCACGTCCTCATATAGCTGGTCTACTTGAAGATTTACAAAGTGCACAAGTCATTGAAGAACGCTGGAAAGTTGATGGCTTGCAAGTAATTAAACCAAAATACAATGTTCTACTCTCTTATCCAAATGATACTGAGCTTAATAGGTATGAATAAAATAGAAGATTCTTTATTGATTATCAGTCATATTTCTATTCAGAGTTAGTCTTAAACTTTCTAATGGGACGATTACATTTCAAACAAGTGGAACTGAAAAAATCTATGACTCAACACAACCAAAAACAGTCAATCCATTTCTTGCTTATACACCTAATGGAACTGTTTCTAGTGTAAGTCAAAAAACATTATTCAAAATTCATTCTATGTTGAAAAAAACATTCTTGATTAATATAATAGACAAAACTATTCTATGCTAACTATGGTGAACTCGAAGATCTTCATAAATTAGCATCAATAGTGGGAAATTGTAGTCTTAACGGTAGTATCATTATTATGAGATATGGTCGCATTTTTCGAGGAGATAAGGTATTTCTTTTTTTCTATTATGCATGATATAAGAGAATAATGTTGACATTGATTGAATGATTTATAGATAATGCATGCTCAATATTTTGGAGCTGTTGGTGCTATATTATACAATGATCCGGCGAATTATGCTCCTTTGGGAACAGAACCTGATCAAGTCTACGATCAAAAGTGGTATATGCCTTCAAGTGGTGTACAGCGAGGGTCAGCCTTCACTTCAAATGGTGATCCTTTGACTCCTATATATCCATCGACAGGTTTTCGAAATATTCTCATTTTGAACTTAGGTTGTAGAATGTAGTTCAATGTTATAGATTATATGTATAGAGTTGCAGAGGATAGTATCAGCTTTCTACCAAGAATTCCAGCTCAACCAATTGGTTACAGTGAAGCTGAGGTTATTCTTCAGTGAGTGACCGTTCTTCTTTACTTCTAATTCATAAAAGAAAGTCTTCCATTTAGATATTTGCAAGGCATTGAAGTAGATGCTGAATGGCGAGGAGGTTTACGAAATGTAACATATCGTTATGGTGGAGAACTTCGTGACGCATCGTAAGTTAAATGAATATGAAGTTATTAAAAGACTATAGTTGGCTCTCAATAGTTCAATTGAATTGAAATCATACAATCGACTAGAAAGAAAGGATACTTATAATGTGATTGGAATAATGAAAGGAGAAATTGAGCCAGGTTAGTCGAAGATTATTCTGTAATAATGCTAAACTGTATATTATTTTAGATCGATATATTGTATTAGGCAATCATCGGTAAGATATAAAGCATTTAAGTGCTTTTAAAGATTTTTTGAAAAGAAAAGAAAATTGTATAAATGTTTTCATGTCGCTCTTTTAAACATTCAAGATATATTCATGAATTGTTAACCCTGAAATAATGAACTTTAAGTTCGTTTAATCTTTTTTAGCCATTAATTGTAAAACTGGATACTTCTCACTTGATCATTTGAAATTTTGTTTATCTTTTAGAGATGCCTGGAATTTGGGTTCGGTTGATCCAACGAGTGGAACAGCTACTATGCTGGAAATAACGCGAGTATTGGGCCAAATGTACAAGAATGGTAATTCATGGCGCTCGTATTTCAACGATACTATAATCGATATTTACTTTAATAGGATTTCGACCAAGACGTAGTTTAATGTTTTGTTCATGGGGTGCTGAAGAATATGGACTCATTGGATCGGTAGAATACGTTGAGGTATGATAGCTATCTGATTTTAAAATTTGAACTCATATAAGGGAAGGAGCAACTAGACCAATCTAGATCTAAGTTCACTTTACGTTCTATAGATGATGAATTAGATACATTCGAAAAATTTCTTTTCTTTTCCCAAAGAACTCACCGTTTTAAGATCATTCCCTATTTTATGTAAAACTAACTCATGTTTAATAGGCATACACGACCGAACTTAAGTTCAGATAAACATCAACCTTAAATTTACGTTGCTTAAGCTCGGAAAGATTCAAACATGTTTAGTTCTCATACGATAAATAGCGTATACTTCAACACATTGTTTTCATGGAAATTACGAATACTTTTAAATGTCTATTATTGATAAATGTTGTCAATTGTGAGTTCAATAGAAGAGATACTAGTCATGTTTCATTTGAATGATATTCAAACACTCGTGTTCTCTCAATACTTTTGTTTCAAGCCCAGAATTTTACGAAAAAAAACTGAAGATATTTCGTACCTTTGTTAACTAATTAGTATTCTGAGATTATAATTTAATGTCTTTTTTAAAGGAATATGTAAAAGTTCTGGGTGCTCGAATCGTTTCTTATTTGAATGTAGACATGGCAGTACAAGGTAAGATATGTGTTAAGAATTGAAACGATTACTTTACTCCTACTTGAAATAGGAAATCATACGGTTTCCGTCAAAACATCTCCGTTGTTATTTGACATCATAGTCGAAGCAGCAAAAATGGTAATAATCAATACTATAAGATACTATCTTTCTCTAATTTTCATGACAGGTTCCAAGTGCATATGATCCTGATGGTCAAACTATCTATGATAAATGGATGAAGGCTGATCGAAATCCTGTAACTAATGAACCAAAGTAAAGAAACTAATGTCTCTCTGATAGTTTTTATTAACATTTTTTGTGAAGCATGAAATATGGTCTTGGATCAGGTAGTGATTTCTTCAGTTTTGATCAATTAGTGGGCTCATCAAATATGGATGCACGATATGTGTTGAATCCTAGTGATCACGGAAATATGACTTCATATCCACTATATCATACATCCTATGAAGTCTTTTCGATGGTGAAAAAATTCATTGACCCAGATTTTACAGTTAGCCTATTCTTTCTCACAATTTTTTTGTGTTTTTAAATGTATTTCAAGCAGGCTCATAGAACAATGGGACAGTTTTGGGGTATTTTAGCATTACTTTTATCAGAAACACCCATTTTACAATTTAATGTGACACGATACACAACAGCACTTATGGAAGCTATGAACAATCTTCAACCAAAAGATCCTAGAGTTCTTGGTAAAAAGAATTTGATTTTGTTCAATTTTTTTATAAGATAGTTGAAATTCTTCGGTTTTGAGATCCATTACGAAATGCCATCAATGATTATAGTAAAGCTGCTCAAGATTTTGTTACACGATCGAAATCAATGGATTCGGAAAAGTAAATTTTATTAATGATGAAAATCAAACGAATGAAGCTTGCTTTTTGTAGCCCATATGAAATTCGGATATATAATGATCAAGTATTACAACTTGAACGTGCATTTTTGAATCCACTAGGACAAGGTCGTGATTATACTGATTTTAAGTAAAAGTTAATTTTTTCTTTGAATATTTTATCTTATCAATAAATTTCGTTTTAGACATATTATCTATGCACCAGCTAAAGGTAATCAATATGCGGCAACTGGTTTTCCTGCTGTCAGTGATGCTATTGCCAGCGGTGATTCAACAGAAATTAATAATCAAGTAGCCATAGCTGCCTATTTTGTGCGCGGTGCTTTATCTATATTAAAAGAAGTTCATCATTTTTTTTCCAATTATTAATTAAGTTATATAAATACGTATAAACATGAACAAAGAGTATATCAATCATTCTATTTGTCTGTGACTAACTAATAATTCCCAAATCTGTAAAACTAGGATATATGGAAAAACGTATAGTATAATCGTAATCTTTTATGTCTCATTTATAGAATTTTACATCATTGGATATAATAGTTGATGCTTCTTACATTAATTAATTATGGATGTAGCTTTCATATTCGGGATAGTGGGATCATGGATGTCGAGAGTAGAGCAATATCCTTGAGAAAAAAGAGATTGTTCTATTTGTAGCAGAAATATTGTCCTGCACATAGTGTCAAACAGAAATCCTTTTCAAGAAACTGAATTTATTCTCTATAGACCCATTTCGAGTAGACATATTTGACTTATTCTTACTTTTATAAGGAAAAATAAGAAGATACTAGGAAATATAATTTATTTTCTTTTTCATCTTACATCTAAGTTGTAATAGAAATGATATTTTTTCAATTTCATGAGCGATTGGTCCTATCATTCACTGTTACATTACTTTTTTCCTTCTCGTGGTATTATTCAGTACTCGATCTATTGTTGTTTGAACTTATTCCGTGCAAAGTTTTGCATTAGACAAGAGTTTTGCGTATGAGTGTGAGGTATGATTATTGATACAGGGTACAGACGTTCGTGTCGATAGAGAGAAGAAGTAGAATGCCAGTGTGGCTGTGTGAGTTTCTTCCTCGCTATGTCGATATACACATCTGTATTTGCATCCACACCCATACCTCACACTCATATCATGATTTGATCATTCATTAGAAAACACTTATATGTCAATATTGAAATATATTCCCATTAATACTTTATTCTGATAATAATGATATATAAATGAAAAGAAATATATTTCAAAAGTCAGCTTGATTCATTAAGATGTATCTCCAGTTATTCTGAGAGTCTTTCAATATTCAACTTCATCTTTCTTACATTATCATGTTCAGCTGAGTAACATTCTGTGAAGATAACTAATGCTTGTTGATAATAATCAAGTGCCAATGTAGGTTTATCAAGCTTTTCATATATTTCACCAATGTTCGATAAACTATCACCAATATCTTTATGATCTGATGGTAGAACTTTGAGACGCACTAAGAAGCAATTCTGTTCATGTATGAGAGCGAGTTTATAGTTCCTTCTTGTTTTTTGCACTTGTGATAACCATGTTAATACATGGGCAATGGAAAGATATTGTTGAGATGATGTAGTTTCTTTAATTAATAAACATCTTCAAGGGTGGGTGTGGGTGTGGGTGTCGGTGGGTGTGGGTGTGGGTGTGTGGGTGTGGGTGTGGGTGTCGATCTGGTTATATTCTTTCCAACCTCCAACACACCCACACCCACACCCACACCCTCATGAGGACCTATGGTTGCCCCAATATAATAGCCCTTGGCGCCTGCCCCTTAAAGGTTGTGTACTAAGTTCTGATTTCCTTTTCCAATAATATATTAGAGAAGTGGATCAGAACTTAGTACACACCCTTTATAGCCTTATTTGACTTTTGACTTTCACAGAGAAACAGACAGACACTGAACATTATATATAGATTTCTTTCTTACTAGCTCTCTTGTTGTTATTTGCTCGTTATTTATTTTCTACTTTTCTTTATTATTCTAACCATTGATTAAGTCTGTTGTATACATTCATCTATATCTACAGCAGATTTCAACACCTTATTATGTCTTTCAATAAATTGAGAAACAGTAATATTGATAATTTTCGAAAGTAAAAACTTGATAAGTCTATGCTTTTTATATTGGGGATCTATGATGACTATGGCATATCAATAGATCACTTAGTCATCATTCTTAAAAAGAAAATACAATTTTATTTTAATTTAAAATTTTTGTAATTTAAATCCGTTTTAAATTACAAGAATCCATATTTATAAAAGAAAAAATTATCATATATAGATATTTCAATTATTTCTAGTACGTTATAATCTAATCCATTTCTAAGGACATAAATAGACAACTCTGGTTAAAAAATAACTAGTATACTTAGTATGTTCATGTATTTCTTTGTATCTCAATATAATTTTAAAAAAGTACTAATTTTAAATGTCGAAGAGATTTTCATTACATCTTCTGATATGAAATAAACATAATTAAAAAAATGTGGAGAGGAACTACTCAAATATATAAAAATATGGATTTATAAAATATGATATCAACTCTTGACACTTATCAGTAATTTTCAAGAACTCTTGGTATCATAACTTAAATAGAAAACAACAATAAGAGCAATGACAACTTACAGTTATATTGATATGAATTTACTAAATAGTTGGTACTGTTTTCATAAATGTGATACGTTAGATCACATTTAACTGTNAGTCAATAGTGAAATGGAACGAAAAACTTTTAGGAAGGAACATCTAGGACACACTGTATAAATGAGACATTGTCGTCCATTCGTTCATATTAATAGCGAGAATCGATCGTTTTACTAGTAGAAAAAAGATAATTTCGAAAAGATTTTAGATAAGAAAAAGACAAGTGAAAGAAGGAAAACGAATAAAATAATCTTACTGCAGTATCCGTTTCAATTGCTGCATGCATTTTTTTTTTCATCAGATCATTTGAAACTGAAAAGAAAAGAAAGAGAATTGATAATAAGAAAAGCAAAAAATTGTACGTCGTTCTAGAATAGAGTGAACAATAAAAGAGTGACCTTGTTTGTAACTCATTTGTGCATGAATTGACCCATTTAAACATACTGCCGACAAGTTCATCTTTACGAAATAATGCTGATGAATTGCTGATGAACGAAACAAACAATTCAAATGGACAAAAGCAAATAGATGAGTCAATGATTGAGTTGATCATTGGTGAATCAAGGTCCACGGAAGTGAGCCAAACATGTGAACCAAAGTCGATAGGCTCACTTCATATAGAAGTTATAAGCCAATCAGATGAAAAGTCCATGCTTTACAACCATCCAAAATGATATTTTTCTTTTTCAACGCGATAGAGACATAATAGAATAACAAGCAATGTACATCGTAAACATGAATTGTTGGTTTCTTAATTTTCTTTTTTTTTCAGGTCCAAATTTCCAACTAACTCAGAGAGTGTAGTATAATTCGATAATATTCAAATATTATCGGCAAGAGTAATATGATTCTACTTCAAATTTACATATAATCTCTTCTTATTTGATACTTATTTTTGTTTTGTTTTCAGATATAAAAATTAATCACTGATAATGAAAAAAAGATTTTAAAAGATATATAAGTGGCGAGATTAGTTGCTGTCAATCGTATTTTGACTGGGTCTTAGAATAATTTTCAAACAATATTTATGTCGTAAGAATTCATACAACTGCATGGTCATATATCGTGCTTATTTTGCAATATTCTTATCGTTATCAAATTTAAGTTTATTAGCGACTGTCGACTAAAAAAGCATAATATTTTTGACCTAATTATAAGTTGCCAAGAAAACTACATTTGATTATCCTATGCTGTTAGTATAAAGAATCTTAAAAATAATTGCAAGACTTATGAAAGAAAATACATTTATCGTGTACCTGAATTATCTACAGTAAAATTTTCAATTATAATGCGTTTCTCAGCTTAAGCTGAAGTTTGATATTAATGACAGATGTTTCAGGAATAATGAATCTCTCTATATGCCAACAATATTTCTTCGAACACTGATTGATTTACATACGATTTTCTTAAAAATTGTTTTTAATTTTCTATAGAATACCATATTTTCTTTTGTAATGTTAATAACATTAGCTATTGCTTTGCCTCGGTTGTTTGGCAACGGTGAATATTTATGATTATTTTTTATCGGTGGTAGAAGTAGGAAATTGATTCAAGATGAAACCGTTGAGAGTTTAAATCTGAACTATTCGATAATTTGTGTTTCTCATCTACAATTTACTGGCGGTTGCGCTCACATCATTATTGTATTGATCAATGGAAATGAGTCCGTATACTGCTCCACCGAAATGTTTAGTCTTTATTGCAGAACTTTTTTTCTTATTTAAGTGCTGGTGAAAGAACATTGAATTCATTTTATCTAATTTTAAACTTAGAGAATAGTGTAAAAAATTTTCATGTTCACATATAAGCAAAGGTGCCATGTGTGTTAAACTGCCGCATTTTTGCATTTGTTACAAGTTATAAGTTTATTCTCCACTGTTAACACTATCAAGATTTTTCAGGCATGCTTGTTATAATATATCGACTTCAGAGATACGAAGTAAATTTTTTCAAACAAATAACAAAAATCACCGGTATACCGAAATCTGTACTAGTTCTGCAGCAAGTAAATATCTTGTCCTATTTTTTCATCTTGCTTATTTTGATACATCTAAATTAAAATATTATAAGCAAAATATAATATTTAGTTTGCTTTACAAAATTTTCTAAAGCTGCCTGTTTTTATTGCAAAAACTATGAGTGCTGATCAGTTTTGAATACGAAATATTGATGTAATTGTGACTTCTCTAGAATTTCAAACAAAAAAAAACATATTGTATTGTTTCTGTTAATGTAGGTATTTTTAGTTTTAAATCTGTAAGTGCATAATCAGTCTTTTTCTTACCATAGTTTTACTTCTTGAAGCAACGTTCAAGACGTTCACAATTGTTGATATATCAACACATATGTCGACTACATTTCCGGATAAAAAAAAAGAGTTATAAAATCTTTATTTTAAATTTGGTCTTTATGAATACGAAAGTTTTTTTTTTCTTATACATTAATAAACTTAAAATTGAAAAAATGAACTACAGGAAATTCATTCTAACTGACCATCGTTGGAAATTCCGAAATGTTCTGCTTCAAAAGATATTCATTTAAAGGAAGTATCTTATACTTTGCTAAAAGATGTAACAAATTTTCAGAATAGCAGCTTCTTTGCTAGTTTTGAAATAGTCAATGATCATTGCATGTGGTATTCATCTTTTTTTCCTGGAATATTCAAGAATTCAAAAGCAAATTTAACAGAATGCAAAACTTCTTTTTATTTCACAATGGATATATTTCGGTTTTGGACTTGCCAAATGGGAATTTGATGAACATTCTCCTATGATTCAATCAAAAATGTATTTATCAAATTTTACAATGTGAAAACTTTCGATTTTTTATTTAATACTTTGTTTTTGATTTATTTGAAAACTACTTAATTATTTTTCTGTTTTGTTTTAAAATATTGGGTACAGAAGCAGATGAAATGTTCAATTTTTCAGCTAACTTTGTGAAAAGTCGTAAACACTATATTTATCATTAAGTAATTGAATTTTTTCACTTAATGAAATGATGTTGAGAAGTCATTACTCTCCTTGGTGTGCGCATCTATAGCAAACAATGAATAGTGCTTGTAATACAGCAGCCAGAAAAGATAAAGAAGGAGAGATAAAAAGTGTACAGTTATTCATTTAAAGGGATTAAAAGAACAATTGAGATTGTAAAGACAATGTTCAAGTTGCACCAAGGTAGTATCCACTTACGGTATATATATCTCTAGCAAAAGTCGTTTCTTAAGACTACGAGCTTGCTTAAGTTGGAAGGTAACTACTTATGAGATACGTTTACTTATTGAAGTTTCATTTATAAGATTTTGCATTTAATTTAAGTTTTAAAATATCACTTTCATCATTACTTTTGTAACTGAATCAATCTAGTTTAAGTTAATCTTCTGCTATTATTCTTTTTTTTTTTTTACAATATTTATACTCATAATAAAAACATATATGTCAAACTTGAAACTTGAATTCAATTGAAATTTCAACTTTCAACTGAAATTTCAAATTTCAAGTTTCAACTTTCAAGTTTCAACTTTCAAGTTTCAAGTTTCAACTTTCAAGTTTCAACTTTCAAGTTTCAAGTTTCAACTTTCAACTTTCAACTTTCAAGCCTCAAATGAGCAGCACTTTGCAGAATCACCACTAACGCGCATTCTCACACACACATCATCGCAGCTGATGCGGGTGCGGCGAAAGGACTGGTCAGAAAAGGACTGGCCACGAAACGACACACATCACATCGTACCTGGTGAGGGTGCTGCGAAAGGACTGGTCAGAAAAGGACTGGCCAGAAAAGGACTGGCCACGATACGACACACATCACATCGCACATGGTGAGGGTGCTGCGAAAGGACTGGCCACGATACGACACACATCACATCGCACCTGGTGAGGGTGCTGCGAAAGGACTGGCCAGAAAAGGACTGGCCACGATACGACACACATCACATCGCACCTGGTGAGGGTGCTGCGAAAGGACTGGCCACGATACGACACATATCACATCGCACCTGGTGAGGGTGCTGCGAAAGGACTGGCCAGAAAAGGACTGGCCACGATACGACACACATCACATCGCACCTGGTGAGGGTGCTGCGAAAGGACTGGCCAGAAAAGGACTGCCCAGAAAAGGAGCCGTCGCGAAACGACTTGAAAGTTGAAAGTTGAAAGTTGAAAGTTGAAAGTTGAAAGTTGAAACTTGAAAGTTGAAAGTTGAAACTTGAAACTTGAAAGTTGAAAGTTGAAAGTTGAAAGTTGAAACTTGAAAGTTGAAACTTGAAATTTGAAATTTCAGTTGAAAGTTGAAATTTCAATTGAATTCAAGTTTCAAGTTCGACACTACTGGAATTTCTTTTACTATTCAGTGATCTTTGTGTTAACATCGTTTATGAACTCACATAAAAATTTTGATTAATCAGAGAAATGGGTCATTTCAGGATAAAGAAATAGTTGTTTTTCCGTTAATGGTTTCTTTTTCTTCAAGTCATTATTACTTATGATTGACGACTATAAAATCGACTTTTTAAAGCTTATAAATTAATTGTTAAGCAATTTGAATATGTATGTTCTATAAAGGAAACAATTGAAAGCGATATTAGATATTTTACGGCGAGAAAAAGATTTCCTTAGTTATCTTATAGAAAAAACAAAAGAAATAGAAATTGACATAGATCTTTTTGCAAATAGTATAACACAATAAGACTCTACTTTGTTCATGGGAATGTAGTGAACAATCATTAAATCTTCTGTCTTGATTACATAAAATACAATATTCATTCTTAATAATCTATTGTGATTCAATATATCATTAGAATGTAATTCCATTCTCAAACCTTTCAAGTTGATTTCTAATCGACAAGACAAACATTTCATTATTAAAAGTAAGAGCATCAAGATGTTCATATTTTGTATGCTTACTAAAAAGTTTCGATTCTTTGATAGCAGTTATGGAAGGTAGCAAAATCAATTTCATCATAGATGAATCTTGTGCCCTTGTTTAGAAAATCAAGAATTCATCAAAGAGCATACATGTGATACCCATTTACTTCTTTCGTTTTCTCATATATTCTCAATGGATATTGTTCTTGTGTTGATAATCAAAACTGTTATTTTGTTCAACTACAATAAATTGATTCAATTGTGATAAGCGCAATATGTTTTAAATCATGTTATGTATCCATAAAATCTGTTTCACACTATATATTCCAATGTTTATCAACAAGATAACTATTCGGTTGTTGGTTTCTTGATTAAACTGGACGTTCAAGTATTCTGTATACATGGACAAATGTAAATAGATCAAAACTCATGTATATATGATTTGTAGATCTGAATCCAACTGATGCTGTTTTTAGTAATGAACGAATGTATTCTTCGCGAATATTTTAAAAAACTTCTTGTTTATTAATAAATTGAAGTGACTCCATAAATAAAAGGGCAAACCTAATACAAAACAATATTTTTTACGAAAAAGGTCAATAGGAAAACAATATTTAAATTTCTGCTGTTCTTCTTCAATAAAATCTTCAAAACGTAATGAATGTTAGCAGTGGATTCGTGTATTTGTTGCTGACATTCGCTCTTAAATCTACGCTGTCCTTCACATGGAATTATTCAAACATTGATTCTTCAATTATTTAGAAGCTGATCAGCTATAAGATCAGGCAATGCAAATGCAGATAGTTTCATTCTATGAACATTTTTTCATAAGGCGGTAAAGTTATACATTATCACAGTCTCGCTGATGGTCTGATTTTGTCTGACAATTCACAATACTTTTATGGTTATATCTATCGCTATTTCTTTGACACCACTTGCAATGATTACTATCGATTTTTTCCCATTCCCAGCATGGATCATTATAACGTAGCACATAAAATGCACCGTGGGTCATCGATGAGACTTCCCAAGGTACAGATTTAAGCAGTGGATACTTTAACCTAGCGAGCTACAATAATTCTCAGCATGATGCGCTTTTAGCTTTAGTCAATTAGGTTAATATCCATCTATCCTTATCCAGAGAAAGCATGTTATCTTGCCCTGACAATGTTCATTACCCTGACAACTGTTAGTGTTTCGTGTAACCAAAAACGTCTTTAGTGTATAAATTATTCAAGGAGGCATTTTCTACAACGTAATGTTATTAATTCACTTGATCTAATTATTTATTTTTGGATAACCATGATATAGTGACTGTACAATCATGGTATTTTCTCTTGTGCATTGTTTGGGCATGTCATCACTTTGTGTTAGAGTGTCTCATTTTAAATAAACCTGTTTTAGCAAAGAAAAAAGGAGATCGAATAATTTTCATGTTAATCGTTTTGACACACGTGTCTTTATTTTTTAGAAGCATATGGAAATAGACAGTTTTCTTTGGTCAATAGTTTCGTTCGCCGAGTGCTACACAATTTGCTTCATATTCATATGAAGTTGACAGAAAAATGACTGCCAAGATGTTGAGAAGAAAGAAGTGGACAGTAGAATGCATTGGCGTATTTTACCAATGAGTTTTGATTTGTGTTCGCACATATCATTGCTGCTTATGAAATATTTACGCTTGTGATTCCATGTTCACTTTCCGTGTATATAAGAAGCATTACAATTCTCATATCAATATCCCACGAGCGAAGAAAAGGATGATTTACATAATTTCCCGATCAACACAACCTACCAGGGATTTGTCCGACTCACATATAATAGTCGATCTATATCTCATCTTTTTTTGCATGGTTGTGTAATACTATAAGAGGCATCAAGACTTATCAAAGTATATTTAGATCAGAATGGATCGTGCTTCATTTTACGACCATTGGAAATTTCACAGAATGGGCAATGAAAAGGAAAACGTACTTGGAGACCTCAATGAATCATCTGACAAGTATGCATCAATAATTATAAATAGCCTAGTGTAGAATAGGAAAAAAGGAAGTATATTTTCGTTATTACATTTATATCTTTGATGTCATATTCGCATTAAATCATAATCACGTGTGTATTTTTAAAAGATGGAAATTGCTACTCTTGGGATACAAAAGCGTCGACGACAGCTCTTCGATAATTTTATAATTATCTGGCTCGATACAAACAAGAATGAAATGTATGACAAATGTCAGGAAACGATGATTCATCATCGAATATCTTCACTCACGTCCGTTCAAAAATTAAGTGATTTAGATCAATGCGTTGATTTTCTCACTAATATTGATGATGATGATAAGGTTTTTCTTATTATTTCCGGTAACTTTGGGGAGACACTCATACCATGCATTTATCTACTTGCCCAACTTCATTCTATTTATATCCTAGACAATCAACATAAACATCAATGGGCAAATGAATATCGAAAAGTTAAGGATAATTTTACGGACGTCGAATCCATATTCGATCAAATTGAACGAGACATGAAACAATCTCAAAAAGATAGTACATCAATCAGTATTATCAACTCATCTTCTACTCATGTGAATCAGCTCGATCAATCATTTATGTATTCACAATTATTAAAAGAGATTATTATAGAAGAACCATTCGATGAAGAAGCTAAACAAAAATTTATCGATTTTTGTCATAAATACTATACTGAACATAATATTGATTTGAATGTGATTGATAAATTTATTCATGATTATGATATTCATTCACCTATTTGGTGGTATACCAAAGAGATATTTATCTATTCAATGGTCAATAGAGCTCTACGAACCCAGAATATTGAAGTGATCATCAAAATGGGTTTCTTCATACGCGACCTTCATCAACAAATAGGACAACGGCATCAGGATGAGATGCAATCAACAGAGAAAATGATTGTTTACCGAGGACAAGGATTATCTCACAGTGACTTCGAAAAGTTGATCAATAGCCAAGGTGGCCTTTTATCATTCAACAATTTTCTTTCGACCAGTACTGATCAACAAGTTTCGTATATATTTGCGGATAGTGCTGGTAGTGATTCTGATTTGATTGGTATTCTATTTCGAATGGAAATTGATCCAACGATTCGATCAAGTCCGTTCACTTCTCTTGATAATGTAAGCTATTATGAGAGTTCAGAGAAGGAAGTTTTATTCTCAATGCATACTGTCTTTCGGATTGGAAAAATCCAACAAATTGAACATCATTTGTGGCACGTTGATCTCATTTTAACAAACGATGATGATGAGCAACTTCGTCAACTTACTGAACAAATGCGACAGATAACTTGTGGATCAACACGACTTGAGCGTCTCGGTGCGCTGATGATTGAAATGGGCGAAAGTAATAAAGCTCAAGAGATGTATGAAACAATGCTTGAAACAGCACGTAACATAGATGTAAAAGAAAACGCAGAACTTCACCATCAGTTAGGCTATGTTTTCGATCAGAAGGGTGAGCTCGATCGAGCATTACTACACTATCGCAAGTCACTAAAACTCCATTTGACTTTTGTGTCACCAGATGATCCATGTATGTCGACCATATATTCAAATATTGGCTCCGTTCTTCATGATCTAGGTGAATATGATGAAGCATTGGAACACTATCAGCGGGCTCTTACTATCGCCGCTGGTAAATCCGCGGAAAAGGATGCACTTTTTCACAATAACATTGGTACAGTGCTCCGTGATAAAGGCAAATATGATGAGGCACTCAAAAGTTATAAGTGTGCGCTCAATATTCAACTTGATTGTCTTTCATCTCTACATCCGTCGCTAGCTACCACGTATGGTAATATCGGTCAAGTCCATTTTTCGATGGGAGACAATTTAACTGCACTTTCATATTATCAAAAAGTACTTGATATACACAAGAGATCTCTACCATCTGAGCATCCATTAGTTGCTACATGTATGAATAATATGGCCTCGATTTACTATGCACTAGAAGACTATTTGACTGCTATCTCGTACTATCAAAAAGCACTAAACATCATGGAAAAGTCAGAATCGTGTCATTATCCAACATTGGCTGTCATTTACATTAATATAGCCATGATTTTTCAACTTCTTGGTCAAACCAATGAAGCCATTGAACGTACAGCACGAGCCGTTGACATTGCAAGTCAGGTTCTTGGATCTGATCATCCTGAAACACTCAAATATAAACAATACCTTAATAACTTGAAAAATTCATTCTAATATATCGTATAATTCTCACCTTTTGACATATTCATCTAAAGTTCGTTCTACTACATTTCGCTTTTGACCAACGTCCACTTGTTCAGTTTCATGTAGAAAAATGACTAAATGCAGTACAGACGACTGCAAAGTACCATCATTTCACTGTCCATTCCTTTGTTTTTTAATGTTCAACAACTATTGTGTGAACCGTTTGCTTTCTTTTATTTTCGTACCTTCTTTCCTACGATCATGAAGCCTTCTGCTGCGTTTTCTACTCATATTCAATGGAAGTCAGATTTTTCTCTCCAAAGAACCAGGAAAGGTTCCAATACTTTGGAGTTTCATGAAGGTGTGGTGTGGCATAAGAGAAGACACACATCCACACTCACACCCAATCAGTTGGCATCGTCCACAGTACTATCCCGATAGTGTTCAAGGCTCTCTCTGGTCCCGCATTCACATGAATAGAAGTATTATATAAAAAACCAAATCCATTACCCATCAGAAAAAAAGAACAAAGCTTATTGTAGCAAAAATACAAGGATCAATTACAATTTTTTTTTCACAAGCTCAATGTTTCTTTTCGATTGCGCAATATACTGATGTGTTGGTGGGAGAGTTTTTTCGTCGATATCAAGTGCTCGTTGGTAAAATGAAAGTGCTTTCGAGTACTCGCCTATGTTAACATATACCTCTCCGATATTGCTGTAGGAATTAGCCAACGAGGGATGGTTCGGAGGGAGAGTTCTTTCGTAGATATTGAGTGCTCGTTCGTAAAATGAAAGTGCTTTTGCGTACTCACTCATGCTATCATAAACCAAACCAATGTCGTTGTAGGCAGTGGCTAACGATGGATGATTCAGAGGGAGAGTTCTTTCGTAGATATTCAGTACTCGTTCGTAACATGAAAGTGCTTTCGAGTAGTCGCTCATGTTTTTATATACCCAGCCAAGTTGAAAATTGTAGTCCGTTCGATCTTTATCGGAAGATGCTGTTTTGAGTAGGTGTTGATAGAGTTGTTCTGCTTTTGCAAACTCTCCCACTTTAATAAGGATACCTCCTAGTTGAGACCATCCTGTTGTCCAGCTGAGCTCTTTGTGTATGTGTGCCCCGAGTGTGTTTAAATCGTTGTTGTCGTTACTCGTGAATGTGAGATTAACTTGCCATAGACGATCAGTGTCGGCGTCGATGATCTGTTTAACTTCATCAATTCGAAAAATCGCGTGCGTCGAGAAAAGAATTTCTTCCTCTTGACTCTGATAGTAGCTATTATTATTGACGTCAGCAAAAAGTGTTGATAATGATGCTGCGTCGCTGACTGTCGGATCGATTGTCATTACAAACAGTATACCAACAGAATTAGAGTAGAGAGCTGCCGGGCGTGCAAAGGTATTCAACGAAATATTACGCTTGCGACTTGTTGAAAGGAAATTATTAAAAGACATAAGTTCTCCTTTCATTTGTCTCATTTTTTCAAAGTCTTGGATAGACAAACCCTGACCTCGGTATACTTTAAATGGTGTCATTGCCACTGCGGATTGGTGTTGTTCGCGATGTAATTGTTCGATATGTTGGTGTAGGTGTCGAATAAAAAAACCATTTTAAGAATAATGTCAACGTCAAGTACCCGCAAGCCTCGATTGAGCATCGAATGAATAAAATATGGTGCAGTATACCACCAAATGGGTGTATGGCGACGATATTCTCCTTCTAACTTTTTAATTTCGTCTTCAACAATGTCATCCTGAAGACGACAATATTCAACGAGTTCTTTGATGGATTTCGTATCGTCATCATCGATTTCCAAAAGAACTTCTTTAAACAATTGTGTATACATAAACAAGGCATCTATGCGATGAAAACTAATCGAGATCAACGATCGATCACATCGTTCACGATCGATTTGTAATTCTTTACAAATTGGATCGATATCAGTGTGAACACCTTTTACCTTTGACATTGTTTTGGACCACTCTTCATGGAGTGATTTATTCCCACAAAAAACATAAATAGAATCCAACTGTGACCACCCATGAATTCTCGGTACGACATGTTGCCCTAATGAACCAGAGACAATCATAAATACTTTTTCTTTTTTAATTTCACTAAGAAAATTGACACACTCTTGAGCATCAGTAAATGTCGTCACGGATGCCACAATATGGCGTAGATATGTTAATGAATTTTTAAAATCTTGTTTTGATTCGTCAATATTGGCATCGAGCCAGATGAGAAGGAAATTTTGAAGGATACGACGAACCCGACAAGGCAACACAGTAGTACTACTGGTGGTGATGGCTGCTACTGGTTCACTAGTAGGAGATGAAGAACATGATGGTGTTATTGAGTTTTTGGATCCATTTGTAGTTGACGAGAAATACGTTCCACTAGCAGGACTTGTCGTCGAATTTCCTTTGTCCATAGTGTATGATGACTGAAAGAATGCAACAAGCACGATCTTCTCGCATCTATTTATATGTTGTTGTGACTTCCTTTTGTTGAGGCTTTTTTATTTGTTACTGTAGAAATGTGTGTGTTTTGTTCGACGCTTTAATGGCTTATTATTGTTTGTTCATTTTAAGAGTGTTTACAAAGTGACGATACCTAAATCTGTACGAATTACGCCAGGAAGGAAGAAGACGAACGAAAATGTGTGAATAAATAAATGCATCGTCATCCAAAGAAAACAAAAAACGAAGAATCATAAATGGAAGAAACAAACTATATTCTTAGTTGGCAAGCTTTTTCCCCACATAGTAGTAGGTATTTTCATACAGTAAGTAGCTAGATGAGGAGAAAGATACAATGAAAGATGCTGTTCACGGATTGATTAATTGAATGCATCGCAGGATATTATCAAGTATATTAATGATCATCCTTGTTTGAAATAACAATAGACAAAATTATTAATTTTGTTTTCATAATTCAACTTGATAGATATTTCGTCAATCTTTTATTACAATTTCAATTGACATAGGTACATTTAGACAAAAAGATAATGCACACATATATACATAGATAGGAAAAGATGTATTAGGTAAACATGAAAAGTTTATGAATTAAAAAAAGATTATTTAACCGTTGATTACTTGTGATTTTGTTTTTCAATGCAATTCTCCATATTATTCAATAACGATGGAGATAAATAAATGGTTCTCTCGTTTTTAATCAAACTTTTATTGTTACTCATGTATGTAATTGTATTTATTGACTTCTAGGTCGAGGTTTACGGAGTCTGTAAACGGTCGTAAACGGTCGTGTACGGTCCGTTTTTCTCCGTATACGGTCGTTTACGACCGTGCTTGTTTGACCTGGGTTAATATATATTTGCCCAAGTCGCTAATGCCCAGTCGTAAACGCTCGTATAGCAGTCAAATACGGTGGAAAACAGCAGCCATTTACGGTGGCTATTTACAGCGATCATAAACGATGCTTGCCGGTGTATTGCGCGCATCGCAAACAACAATCGTGAAAATACAGCATCTGTAAACGACGGTCTGACACAATCGTAAGTCATTATCAACGTCAGCTGTAATAGGTTTAAAGAAAGTTCATCGTTTTCTGTCGTACTTCAGCATGGACGTTTGCTTTCATTCAGCGTTCCGCAATCAGGATGAGAATTAATATTAAACAATGCTACTGCTACCGATTCTCCATCTACATTACTCATTCAGGATAACGCGTTAGTCGCACCACTGAAAAATTAATCAGATCAACGTGTTAGACTGAACATTGCATTATTTTCATTTCGAGTATATATATGTACTTCTATAGGTTTTAATAGTCTATTTTAAAAATTCGCTGTAGTATTTCGACTGATTGCAATAGCATCTCCAGTCATTCTAATAATATCCTAGACAATGCTTGCAGCATCTGAGATAATGCTACTAGCATCCAAAGTAATACTAATAGCATCCCAGGTGATGCTAATAGCATTCCAAGTAATACTTATAAAATCCTAGGCAACACTTCAGAAGTCACATATGCCTCATAGATTAAGGTTACCAATAATTCTAAAATGAAACCTGTTTTGTGTACTTAGAACTCTTTCTAGTGCTACTAAGTAACACGTCAAATACTACGAATGGCCTATTCACATCCTGACGGGACTCACCCTATATATATATAGAACTGTCAGCACACGGTTCAGCTCATTTCGGTCAGACCACAGGTTAGAATAAATAGGCTTAGAAATCCTGGAAAAAGGTATTCAGTAACCACAGACTTCACTATGGGCATTCTCCAAATATCTGTGTATCGCAGCAAGCTTCAATACAACGATTCACACCTACACCTACGAAAGCACACCTGATCGTGAAAACTTATTGAAAAGGCATTTTATGACCTTTTGGTAAGTAAGTGCTTTTCTTTCTAGATAATTTCAACGGGGAAACCCGAGTTTTTATGAAAAAACGCCTTTTAACGCGTCTAACGACCTTTTTGTGAAACGTTGTTAATAAAAGTGATTTCTGCATCCATATGAGCTCCTTTAATGGAGTGAGATATTGAAAAACATTTTTAATAATATATTCGTTTGTTTTAGGTGATTTCTTAAGATGAATATGCGTTTTTTGTAAAAAAAAAAAAAAGAAGAAAAGACCTTTAGAGGCATTTGGTGACATCCATTATGATTTTGTACTTCTTGTTGAGTTGGAATAGTGAGATGAAGGAGGTTAGCAATAAAAAGCAGTCCCGTTCAGTTCATCGATGAGATCTTTTTTGTGACACTTATTACGACGATTCAGAGCGACAGACGGTCATAATACGGTTACTACCAAGCAGGTGAAATACGGCCCTCTTGCGGCCGTAATTTTAGCGTTTACGACCGTTTACGGTCGTCGTAATCATCGATCTGGGTGCTATCATTGTAATAAAATTGATTGAATTTGTTATTTGAATTAATGTAAAACTATAAAAATTCGGAATTCGAGATATCAATAATGAATTATGTTGATTGTTTAAATATTGTCTAATAAATATTATGATTATTATTTTCATATTTCAAATCATTTGAACTAAAGATACAGTCAATCATAAAATTTATTTAAAAAAAAGAATTGGTCGTTCTTGAATTTGTTTTTTAAAAATCCATAAGGGTGTGGATGAAGAGAGCGGCAACAGAACCACACACCGACACTATTATAATCGCGCATTGAACTCCTCGATTTCTATTACAGATATTCATTTGCACTGATTAAAAAAATAAATCGAGAGAATTATTATATAGTTACATTTCGGTTTCCTGTTGTATGTGTATATTCAGAGAAAAGATTTCCACATAATCTTCGCATTGTTATCTAGTCATTTTACTGAATAATATTTCAAACCAAATCAATTTTTTTTGTAAATTTTTCTCTGCTACGTATTTTTCTCAATAGTCACGTTTCTTTTGTTTTATCACACGAAAATTTTGTACTGGTTTCTTATTACTCGCCAAACTTTTTTTAGTTTTCTGAACTATCCTACCTTTTAACTGTTTCCTCATGTATATGTTTTTCTGGTTTACTGTCAAGGTCATCGGTATTTTTCTTTCGTTCTTCTCTTCTCTCTCCTTGCACGTATAATATGTGTTTGAATTTTCGATTCCTGTCCATCACATATCATATCTATGTGAACATATGTGGCGTACAAGGCTGAATGGATGCGACCCGCTCGATGCAATTATGGATGATATAGCCGCATTTTGGCCGCCAGAAAACTAGTATTGATGATGTTTTATTTTATATACAGTGATCTTATTTCGTTTGAGAATAAAAATTAGAAAAAACTAAAAAAAATTGGGGGACGGAGGGATAACAAACCAGTACCGAAAATTTTCATTCAAACCGGTGTCGTTATCTATTCCTTCCTTTGTCTGATGCTAATGCCATTGCTATTTTATCTATGTTCACTACATGGCAGAAAATTAGTTGAACTGCTGATTTTTCAACTTCAAATTTTTTGTGTGCATATAAATTAGGGATGATCGTTTATTGGTTGTATTGCTGCACAAAAAATGTTACTTTCCTTTCTACATGTTTCCATCAGACAGAAAATTTAATGTGACATCGTTTTGTATAGGGAAAATGTCTGGAAACAATATATCAATATCTTCTATCCAATACTTCATTGTTGCTCAGTAATAGTTTATGTTAGCTGAAATTTTTGCTCTGCCAGTCGTCTTGCTGCCTAATGGAGTCCTGATAAGCGCAGCTCCGGCAAATCTTATCGTTTGAATCGAAAGTATTCTCCACGTACTTTAATATCGCATATTTTCCGAATTCAAAAAATATTGACCACACAAAAGACATGAAACGCAATAGTCTCGCGTTATGAATATATATTTGTCTAAAGGAAATATAGAGGACCTCAGTGAGAACACTTACGTTTAAACTTACAACACACCATTATGGAAACTATTCAATTTGGGTTTTGCTGAGGTTATAGTCAAATAAGATCAACCTTAATATCACAAGAATAGTGTGTTCAATATTTTCTTGAGTGAAACGAGTTTTTTCCCCTCTCCAAAGTAAGTAGCTTTCTAGTGCTTGGAAAGCCCATCGAAAAAAATCTTTTCTTGGTATTTTAATCGATAATGAACGTAGTGGACATACGGTATAAAAGGTGATTGTGGGTGTGAGTCGGAATGAAAAAAATAATAACACCCAAATCTGTATCTAAGGCCGCACCCACATCCATATAAAAGCTAGTGTTAATTAAATTGCCGTGTTCTAATGGTCATGCATTGAATCGGAACTATAGTTCATCAGCGACTGTATTTGCTTATTTAAAAAGTGTGCTTTTTCGAGGTTCGATAAAAAGATCTAGTCAATTGGAAGCTATTGTTGTGAATCGATATATACCGAGTGTAGTTAGCGAGGGAGCCTCTCCGACTATTGAATTACGTGTACTTTGACTGCTTGTTCACTTGTCAAATCTTATTCATTTATTAAAAATTCCCAGAATGATCTAGTTTCCGGCGTCTTCTGAGTAGAGATATGCATATATCATTATATCCAATTTTTGAGCTCTTAACTATGATAATATAGTTTATATTTTCACTAATAAGTTTTAGTCTAGTTTTAATTTATGCATTTCGATAAGTATTAGTTAGTTATATCAATATAGTATGTGTTCGTGCACCAAAGTGAAATCATCAGTTAGGTTGGGGTGTGGGTTTGTCTTGTTTGTATCACCCACACCCCACACCAACCACACACCCACACCCACACCCACCCCCTTCAACGACTGATAATATTCGTTGATGTTAGACTGTCTCTTTTTAGAAGAAGAAGCGAAAATATTATTTCATAATTATGATGCATTTCAAAATATTGAACATGAAAAGAAGAAAAGGTGTTTTAAATAGATTGAAAAATATATATCGAAATAAGTTCTTCAGATGTCGCTAGCAGATGTGCACTTGAAACATGATTCGAAATAATTTAGATGTGCTTAAAAAGTTTTTATTCCTGTAGAAGAAATAAAACTCAAATAGGATATCGATTTTAAAATTTTTCAATTAATAGAGGACAGAATTAAAATTTCATTGGCTAAAAACCGTCTCGTGTCTGATGTTTCGAAGTCTTATTCTTCTTAATCTTATCTATCCAATTTTTACAACGCTAAAAAGTCATCCTATTGTGTGAGCAAGAGCAAAAAAAGTTACAATATGAAGCATTGTTATTCAAAACATTATTTTGTAGATTTTTGTTGACTTGTTTCTACTATTACAGCGGTCATTTCTTTTTTTTCGACCTATGATTTATCATTTATTTCTCTTTTGTTTCATCTATATTTTTAATAAAATCGATGCTGCCAATGTTCATTATCCAGCTATATTTATTCCGGGTGATGGTGGTTCACAAATTTGGGCACGATTAAATCGTACACTTCCTCCGCCACATTTCTTTTGTAGTCGTCATTCAGATTGGTTTGAATTATGGCTTGATCTTCGTCTTATTGTTCCAGAAGTTATCGATTGTTTTGTCGATAATATGCGTTTAACATATAATGAAACAACAAAAAAAACATCGAATTTAGAAGGTGTAGAAATAAAAATACCAGGTTTTGGAAACACATCAACTGTTGAATACTTTGACGCATCTGGTTTTCCTTATTCATCATATTTTGCACCAATAGTGCGAAGTCTTGTTACACTTGGTTATACACGTGGTGTTAATTTACGTGGAGCTCCGTAAGATTTTTCGTTCTATTAAAAAGAAATCAGTGATATTGTTTTTTCTTACTGTTAGATATGATTTTCGTCGAGGTTTAGATGAACAAAATGAATTTTTTGATGATTTTACTCAATTGGTCAAAGATACATATGAATTAAATAATCAAACAAAAATTGTACTTGTAACGCATAGTATGGGAGGTTCGTTAGTTTTTTTTTGAATAATAAGAATTTTAAATGAGGATTTATTTAGGCCCGTTTGTTTTATATTGGCTTCATCGACAAACATCTGATTTTAAAGCTAAATATATTCGTTCAATGATAAATATTGCTGCACCTTGGGGTGGTGCTATAAAAGCACTTCGACTAATGATTAGTGGAGATAATATTGATGTAAGATATACAAAAACAAATGCGAACATATTATCCGAACTGATTCAAAACTTTTCAAGCATCTTTATGTCACAAAGAAAAAGTCTCGAAGGATATGAATCTATTTTATGGTTTGACTGAATTTTCAGCGAACTTTTACTTTTACAGTTCAACTTGAAACATTGTTCACGCCAACTAGACTATCTTCTATTTAAAAAAAATTCAGAATTTTTGGATAAAGTATCACTGAGATTTGCATTTTTATATAATATCGTTGAATAAGTGATCACGCTTTTACTAATTCAAATTTTGGTATTGTTACATTCAAAAGTTCTAAAGTTTTTTTTTATACAAGATAGTCTCGTTGATGTAACTAAAGTGTTAAGTTTTCAAAAAAGAATTTTTTTTCTTTTTGTTGAGAAATCAGAGTTCTCGAGAAAAATTTTGATATCTCAACCAAATTAGTACATAAACTCATATACTCTAGGGTTTCTTTTGGTTGACAGATGCTATACTTATGCATAAAACTATGGGATTAAAGGCTTTGAAAGACTTCGGACAATATCCTCGTAAGATTAGAAACAATTCTATGATTGAATTAAATGAGAATAGAAAAAAGAAAAAAAAAAATGTTTAATGAATAGAGAGCCAGGAAATGTTAATTGGTTTCTTTGTAGTACGAAACAAATAGAAGCAGTTGATCGAAACTAATCAGTTAATAAAACACATTATTATGTAATCACAATTTGCTCTTTCCTACAAAGGGAATTCTTCTCATTTGACAATAGCTTCTATAGCAATGAAATAATATATGCAAGTTGATTACATAAAATTATCTGAACTAGAAAATTATCTAGATTTTATTTCGTATCTCATTAAACAACGAATAAAATTATTCTACTCTTTCGAAAAAAAAACATATTCGTTCAATGTTCAAAATCTATTTCATCTTTCATTTTAAGGTATATGTTGTTTCTCCTATTCGTGTTCGTCCTTATCAACGTTCGGCACCTTCAACTGCATTTGTTATGCCAAGTATTAATTTTTGGAATAAAGATGAAGTTGTTGTTGTTTCGCCACAACGTAATTATACAGTTAATGATTATGAAGCACTTTTTAATGATATACAATTTCCCACTGGCTATGCTTATTGGATAAATAATAAAGATTTAGTTAATGAATTAAAACCACCTGAAATTGAATCACATGAACTATATGGTAGTCATATGCCAACACCAGGTGTACTTTTATATAATAATCGTACATTTCCTGATTTACAACCAATTGTTTTACCAGATGATGGTGATGGTACAGTTAATATAAGAAGTTTACGTGGTTTTAAAAATTGGGAAAGTAAACAAAAACAAGATATATATAGTTTAGAAATACCTGGTGTTGAACATTTAGCTATTTTAAAACATCCAACAACAATCAATTATGTTACTCAAGTACTTACTGCCCAATTTGATAAAAAATAGACTTTTGTTTTTTTTATTCATGCGCGTGTGTGTGGATGTGGATGTATATATTTATACTATATCAATCTTTTGATTTCCGGTGATTTATGTGTGTGAAATAGAAGAAAAGAAACCGCTGACATACTTTAGGTTTTTTTTTTCTTTCTTAAATTAACATTTTGTGTGATTTGCAACGACAACAAAAAGAAATAATCAGCAAAGTTACTTTTTTTTTAAATAGTTTTTTTATTTTATCATTATCCGAATATTGGTAGAAAAGCGAGATAATTATATGATTGAGTTCAATAGAGGAGAAGATTGATTATTCGATTGATGAGCGAGAAAAGAATATTCTAAATTGCCTATTTTATCGATGGTCATAGTGTATGTTTTTCTTTATTTTATTCTCTTCTTTCTCTTCCCCTCCTCCAACTTCTTCGATTTCTCTTTTGTTTTGATGAGTTTTGTTTGCATATGGATGAGAAAAGGAAGACACAGTCGTGATGGTGCACGCATATCATCTTACCGAAAAAAAGGTGTTGAACATGTTCTGATGACACCGTGAACGAATAATATAAGCTATTGAGAACGATAGTATTCGACGAGACAGACTAATTGTTGGATAATCTTAGTACTGTTTTTTTCTTCTTCTTCTTCTTTAGTCCATCTACTTTTCTCTAATTTCATTTATCTTCTAGATGTTATTAAAATTATGTTGACACACAAGCAACATTTATATTCATCTGTTAAAGATACTATATCAATGGTAGACAAAAATGATGATCTTGCCAAACTTAGTCTTTTAACAGAAGATATTTTACTTGAACATTTAAAAGAACGTTATGAAAAAGATTTAATTTATGTAAGTATTTTAAAAATAAAAATAGAAGAAATTTTTCTTGAATTATTTTATTGTTTTCGTTTGGAATATTTAGACATATCTTGGAGATATTCTTGTTGCTGTCAATCCATTTCACGAAACAAGTCTTTATACTTCACAAGTATTAATCATAATAAATATTTATTCGTTTTATATATAAGTTATTTATTTTAGATTCGTGATTTTTATCGATATTCAACTGATATTCATAAACCACCTCATGTTTATGCACTTGTCGATCTTGTTTATAGAAATGTTTGTCATGGTATATACGAGCAACAATGTTGTGTCATTAGGTAACAAATATAATTCAATAAATAATTCGAGAAGGGTGTATTTTGTTTTTAAATTTAATTTTAGTGGTGAATCAGGTTCAGGAAAAACAGAAAGTACAAAATTCTTTTTAAAACAATTAATGTATTTATGTGGTGGTAGTTCTCAATTAGAACAACAAATTTTACAAGTAAGTATTCGTGTACTTATATAAGTTGATCGAAAAATAGTTTAACAACAATGTATTTTTCTATAATATTGAGCACCTAGGTCAAATTAAGATAGTAATTCCAATAGTCAATAAAGTTTTCGATCTAATGCATTTTACACTAAGGTTTCATAGACGAACTAACTACTTCAGGTTAACAAAATGTTGTGATATTATTAAATGTTCAAAATAATTGCCATGATTATATATGCAAAGTTTCATCATTTGTAATAGTCTGTTACATGTTTTTTTTTTAAACTATTTTGGAAACGGCTCAAGTCAATGTTATTTCATTTCTTTGATCAGCTAAGTTACACTTGATATAATCATTGAACCAAAAATCACATGGTGCAAGGTTTGACGACAATTATTGATACTTTCTTGTGTTAAGTACTTAAAAACATCTCGATGAGTATGAGATAGAGCGTTGTCGTAAAATTATTTTTTTTTTACCTTTTATACTCGATGATTTTCTTTATTTTCATATTTCCTTGACGACAGTTTAGAAGCAATGTTTAGTATAGTAGTTGTGATCTATAGTTTTGCCTTTATTTACATTATGTGTCAGGATAGGTCCATTTGATTTAAAGAATATACAAAACAAAGTATTTGGTTCAAATCTGTTTTGGACAAACAATAGTCGTTAGCAATTCACGTTCACCAATTCAATTAAATTTTAATTCGTGCTTGCTTTTATTCATGATTGAACTGATGAGTTGTTCAACATCATGTAAGTTTTCTCATTTTTAGATAATCATGAATCATTTGTTCTGTTGAATCACAAGAGAGAGAAGTCTCAGCTATAATATCGTCATAAATTGAATATGGATCATTGTTGATATCTTCTCTTTGCTCTTTTGAAAACGCTTTGTTCATATCAATTAAATTTATCATTCATTTTTCAAATTGTTTTTTAAATAGAAATTGGATTATATCTAAAAGAGTATTAAAACTAAATCAATAGTGAAACTTTTACTATGTAATTACTTATACAATAAATACTTCAATGTTAAGTAGTTTATTAAATTACCCGCAGCACTATCAGAAATTTAAGTCAATTCTAAGTATTTTGATAAAAAAATAGCTTTTCGGACCTGAAAATACAGTGTCTAGTTGTTTTTTGAAACTTTGCCACCATAGTTCATCTATGAAATCTTGCTGTAGAGTGCATTGGATAGAAAAATTGGTTGTTGTTAAACTTCTTCTCGGCACATTATATATATTGGTTATATTGAAAAACTATTATTTTGATTTATTCAGGCAACACCATTACTCGAAAGTTTTGGTAATGCACAAACTGTGATGAATAATAATTCAAGTCGATTTGGAAAATATCTTGCTTTGAAATTTATTAATGGCAAAGGTAATCTGAAAAATATTTTAATGAATTTCTATTAAATTTTATTTTAGTTATTGGTGCTCAAATAAGTGATTATTTATTAGAAAAATCACGTGTAGTAATACAAAGTCCAGGCGAAAGAAATTTTCATATATTTTATTATTTATTTGATTATCTCCCATCTGAAATAAAGCAAATTTTATGCCTTCGAACGAAATATGATTATAAGTAAGAAAATAAAATCTTAAGAATATAATATTTACTTTTGATTTTTATTTATTTCAAAGATATCTTTTAACTAACCCATCATTAGATGTTCAAAATAATGATACTGTGAATTCATTAGATGAAGTGATCAATGCAATGGGTTTGCTTAATTTTACTGATAAAGTATGAATTAGAAAAAAAAGAAAGATTCTTCTCTCATAATTCTTCAAAACAAATATGTACTATTCTATATGAAAACGAATTAAAAAATTTTCAAGCATCAACGTCAAATGAGACCTTTTTTTTCATTCTTTGGATTCAGTTCACAATCGAAGGGACCAATCATTTGTGTTCTACATAATTGACATATTTGATCACGATGACAAATTGCGAATTGTATGTTGCATCTAAAAACAAGAATAATTGTTAGCGTATAGCATGGTCCACAGAATCACAATCGAGTGTGATTGTGTTGATTGCGTAGTAATAGATTGCAAATGAATATCGAAAGACTTGACTTGTATTCATCATACTAAAGACACAATTTGATTAGTCTTATTTTACAGTGTGAAATTCTTTAAATGAATCTTCAATGAAAATCATAGAAATAGAAAATTTTTCTAGTTTAGATCATACATAAGAGAGATTTATCTTCGTTAAAAATTTATTCTATTCAAAAGAAGCATTCGTATTATTATGAATTTTTGTATTCATTTCTATTTTTGTTCAGGAGCAACATTCCATGTTTCGTATATTATCTGGTATTTTAACCATTGGTAACCTTGAATTTTCTATTGATGATGAAGGTTTTACGCGACAAAGTTTCAATGAAGAAAAAACTAAAAATAATCTTTCAATTATTGCTGTATGTTAATATAGTAATAATATACAGTTTTTTGTAATAATATTTATAATTTATTTAGAATATGTTCGGTGTTAATTCTGATTTAATTATGGAATGTTTAACAACAATGACAACATTGACTCGTAATGAAAGAGTTATTAGAAAATTTAGTTTACAATCAAGTCAAGGTATTTAAGAAAAAGAAATTTCTTTTTTGGTCTTTGGTAATAATGAAAAAAGAATATTATTCATTGTAGACGCTCGTGATGCTTTATCAAAACATTTATATGCGCGTTTATTTTCTTGGATTATTGGAAAAATAAATGAAACATTAAATAATCCTTATCCCATTCAACAACATCATCATATTGTTGAAATTGGTATATTGGATATTTATGGTAAAAAAAAAGACTATTATCCATTTTTGAAAAAAAGGCGTTCCGGGAGAATGCATATAACTTTTGAAGGAAAAGTGATGGAGACCTGCGGTTTTCACCATTTGAAAGAGGACATCACGGGACGTAGATATAGATCAAAATATGATTGGTCGGCAATCCACCAATCGCGTGAGTCCTCGCTGGCCATTTTCACCATCAAATATTCGGCTTGTTTTCTGATCAATTTTGAATCCGAAAGTGACCATACGATAGAGAAAATTGTTGTCTTTCGATCTACACAAGGCCGACCTTTCTAGCCTGTTCCGTTAAAGAGTTATAAGGGTTTTCCTGAGACCCCTGATTTCAGCTAATGAACCTTGGACCAACTCCAAAACCATATGGGATGGGATAATTCATCATGCTGAGTCGAATGGTGATATTTGTTTTTGGATTCAAAATCAGCTTATGCTTTTATCTCAATATTTCCGAAATGTGGACTCATGTGAAACATGGCAGTAGATATTGGGAAATGTAGACAATTCATAAAATACAGTGTAGGATGGTTTCAAATCCAAAAACAAATATCACCATTCGACTCAGCATGATGAATTATCCCATCCCATATGGTTTTGGAGTTGGTCCAAGGTTCATTGGCTGAAATCAGGGGTCTCAGGAAAACCCTTATAACTCTTTAACGGAACAGGCTAGAAAGGTCGGCCTTGTGTAGATCGAAAGACAACAATTTTCTCTATCGTATGGTCACTTTCGGATTCAAAATTGATCAGAAAACAAGCCGAATATTTGATGGTGAAAATGGCCAGCGAGGACTCACGCGATTGGTGGATTGCCGACCAATCATATTTTGATCTATATCTACGTCCCGTGCTGTCCTCTTTCAAATGGTGAAAACCGCAGGTCTCCATCACTTTTCCTTCAAAAGTTATATGCATTCTCCCGGAGCGCCTTTTTTTCAAAAATGGATAATAGATTAAAATTAAAACTATGTTTGTTAAATAATAGGTTTTGAACATTTTGAATTAAATAGTTTTGAACAATTGTGTATCAATTTAGCCAATGAACAAATACAATATTTCTTTAATCAAGTAAATAACTATGAAATTTTCTTTAATCTATAACGAGACACTAACTGTATCAATGATAAAATTTTCAGTAAGATTGAACTTTAAAATCGTTTTTTAGACACTGAACAAGGGTTTGTACCGTTTGAAATTGATTTTAAACTTCTCATTCGATTATAAGAGTTTTTTTTCGTACTCGATCATGTGGCTAATCAATAGTCGATGTTTTTGTGAAAAATCTAAGCAGCCTATGAATAGAGATTTTATAGTTTCAGAAATAGCCTACAAAATATACTATTTAGTTTTCAAAAATTTTGCTTCAATGCAGAGAATCACGTCGCCAATGAATGATTGATCCCGTTTTTTGTGTCTCTATGCTATTTTGTTAACAGAAGATAGATGATCATCCACTCTTCATTTTAGCATGTTTTTCATATGGAAATGGCGGAGTATGAAAGCGAAGGTATCATGGCTGAAACATTAACATTTACAGATAATCAATCATTTTTGGTAAAAAGAAATGCACTTGAATGTATTAGTTAAGTTATTGTTTGTTTTTTATTTTTTTCTCTTCAGGAACTTTTTATGGCTAAACCAGTGGGAATTCTTTCATTATTAGATGATGAAAGTCGACTTCCAAAAGTAATAATGAAAAAGATGTTTTTTCTTGTTTTTATTATAAATCATTGAGTTTCTTTATTTATTTTTTGTTTTGATTAAATAGGCAACTGATCAAACATTTGTAGAAAAATTAAATTATCATTTTGGTTCAAATAAACATGAATGTTATTCAATAAATCGTAATAATAAATATTCTTTTACAATTCATCATTATGCCGGCAAAGTTTCTTATTGTGCATTGGGTTTTTTGGAAAAAAATCGTGATACACTATCTGATAGTGTTGTTGATATGTTTAAACATAGTCGAGATGATCTTATACGTTTACTTTTTCATGGAAATCCATCTGATGGAACTACCAATTCAAATAAAGGAGTAATAAAAAATATTGATTTATATTTAAGAAAAAAAAAGCGAAATTAAAATATTCTTTTCGGATTCATATGATAGAATTATATCGTGAAGTCTTATGAAGAATGAAATTATAAAAGCTCAGTTCTAGAAAATTCTAGTGTCGAAATTTACATTTATTTCTAAAGATTACGAAATTGATTCTACTATCAGACACCGTTCAATGCCATATTTTACATATGAGTGGAACATCACTAGAATATCCTAAAAATTTCAACTCAGACGAATGTATTTTTCTTGAAATTTGGGGAGTCTAAGTAACTCGGATTTAAATCTTCTTTTATGATAATTAAACATTCTTTGGGTACTTGATAGCTTAAGAAGAAAACATTCGTTTGAGTTGAAATTTCTAGGATATTCTAGTGACCGTGAGACCTGTCTATAAGCGAATTTTCAGATAAAAATCTCTTAATTGAATCTTCCATGAATCGCTAACTCAGGGATCCAAAAACCTACTAAAATGGATATAATTCTGACTATCTAATAGATAGTTTCGAACCCGTTTAAGTTTTCTTAGTTTCACTGAATCCTACTCGTACACAAAACATAAAGTCAAACGATGTTCTATAGTTCGGATATGTTCTCTCATGCTTTCAAGTTTCATTCTACAACAAACAAAAGTTTATGTGTGTTATTCGTTTGAGTATTTCATTAAAAAAATATTCTAACATAGTCAAAAGAAAAAACAAGTTATTATTTTGATTCTTTTAGCTTCAACATCGAACAGCAGCTGAAAAGGATGCTCGAAATCGATTAACAGTTGGTGCTCAATATCGAGTAAATAAGATATCTAAGAAAATCATATAAAAATCTATTTTTTAAATCTGTATTAGAACTCTTTACAAATTTTAATGGATCGTATGTGTGCATCACATCCAGTATTTATGCGTTGCCTTAAACCTAATCAACAAAAACAAGCTCATTTATTTGATGATGCATTTGTTCGTGCACAAGTAAAATCATATTTAACGAAAAAAGAAAGATTTTTTTAAAAAAAATATTTTTATCATTTATAGCTTCGTTATTGTGGTATGTTAGAAACAACTCGAATTCGTAAAGAAGGATATTCTGTACGATTATCTTTTGATGAATTCGTACAAAAGTAAAACATATATTTCGTTTATTTCGTTTATTTTATCGACTCTATCATTTATCTAGATATGGTCTTTTATCAAAAAACCATTCATCTGATTTATCATCAATAAAATGTCGTCATATTCTTGAAGAAACAAATTTAACTAATTGGCAATTGGGGTAAGGAAACAAAAATATAGTCTTATATGAAAACATATATTATCATAAACATTTTTCTGTAGAAAAACAAAAGTTTTTTTAAAATATTATCATCCTGAACATTTGGAAAAATTAATGAACAAATATCGACAAGCAGCATTATTGATTCAACGAAGTAAATTTTCTAATCAATAACAAAAAAAAAAAAAAAACTTCATTTTTCTAGGATTTCGTGGTCATATAGCCAGAAAACAATTTAAAAAACTGAAAACAATTTTTATTACATCCAAAAATGAAGTTAATCAATTTTGTACTCATATTGAAAATCTTAATAGCCAGCTTGTTCGAACACTTACTCAACTTAATGATAAACTTCCAGGTTTGATATTCCTATTGAACAAGCGAAATTCGCTCCTGAATCGTTCTTTCGGAAGTAACACCAGATAATCCATGCCGATTATGTTGTTTATAGGTAAAACAGTACCTGCTATTAATCCAGAAGATGGTCTTCGACCTCGTCCACCAGCACGTGAAAGTTCATTGAATTCATCGTCACATGTTAGTAATACGGGAACACCTGGTAAATATTCTTTACCAACAACAAAAGTTTCATCATCAACAACAACAAATTCAACAAATACATTAACATCAAATCAATTAATGGTTGATTATGACTCTTTACTTTCTTATTTAACACTTAAATATGGTTCACCTGGTGAACGAGAATCTTGTTTAAGGTTATTTGAAATGTTTATTTTCTTTTTTTTTTTGTTCTTAAAGATATTTTATATATTTTAGATGGTTTCGTGATACACAATATCCATATGTGTGTCAGAAAGGAACATTTCCAAGTTGGTTTCATGGAAATATTACTCGACAGTAAGATAATAAAGAAAAAACAGTTGTTTTTTTTTTTGTTTGTGAAAATTTTTTTTTTGTATTTTCTAGTCGAGCAGAAGAGTTATTAGCAAAACAATCAATTGGTTGTTTTTTAGTACGTCTTAGTGAAAGTCGTTTTGGTTTTTCATTATCATTTCGGTAATAAATCAAAAATTTTTTGAGAATATTTTTTAAATTTGATGAATTTTCTAGAGCTGAAGATCGATGTCGTCATTATATGATTAATCAATTAAAAAATTTGAAATATAATGTTATTGGTGAAGCAAAAGTTCATAAATCACTTGATGAACTTATTGAATATTATCGAACAGTAAAATTTTTCTTTTTTGTTTTGTACCATTTTCTTATTAATCGAATATTTTCTATTTAGCATGAATTATCAAATTGGAATGGCCGTTTGACTGAACCATGTAAAGCTGACTGGTCACAATATGATCATGAATCATTAACGCCTATTCAAAATAGTGTTAAAAATCAAGCGTATCATCATATCAAAAATATTTCAACTCGACCTCATGTAAATATAATAAGAATGTTTTGTTTTAAATTGATTAATTATTAAAAATGAAAATGTATATTTTAGAAAGTGACCAATTAGTCCAACAAAAGAATTATAGTATAAGAAAATAATAATAGCAAAAGCTTAATCTTTAATCTTGCTTTTAATGCTAACCTATGAATAGTTTAAAAGAATATTTAAAGAATTCTTTTATTTATTTTCGTTTATGAGATAGAATATCATATGAAACCAAAGTCAAAGTCATATGTCAGTCCAAGATCTTTCATAACTGTAAGCCTTTGAAGAAGCATTGATCGATTGTTTTAAATACTAGAGAATTTCTTCGCTAAATAAATGATTTAATTAATTTATTCTAACAGTTCTATAATTCAAGCTTTTAGAAAAATTACGTCGAATATTCTATTTAGCTGATTCTAATAAGCTAATCTGTTGGTAAGGTAGCAGTAAAATGTTTAGAAACGAAGTGCTTTTTACTTTCTCTCCAAGCTAGAATAAAACGGAGAAAAGATTTGAGTAGTTGAAACAATTTCTTATAAGACAAGGTAATTGTCAAATTCTTATTAATAGTTTTGAATGAAAAGCGGAGATTTTCAAAACCAGTTCTTTAGATTTTATCAAAAACGTTTTATAAACAAGTCTTTATGACAGAATGTTTTTGTTAGAATCCATAAAACTGATTTTGGAGATCTTAATTCTCCAGAGACATCTCATCCAAACCTGTTGATGGGAATTTGCTGCAGTTTGAGAAAAAAAAAGTTCGAAATACTTTGTTTCTAAACTTTTTGTTGCTACTTTATATTGAATAGTTATTTCAACAGTCATCAAATAAAGCTCTATATATTATTTATTCAAATATTTGCTCTAATGGGCAGCTACAAGTGTTTTGTACAAAATAGCGCATACAAGAAAGACAGTGCTGACTTATGGAAGTTACAGTCAAATTTAATAATCGTTTTAAGCTATATCGGTTTATTAGAAATAGATGTCCGATAATTAAACCATTTATTAACATTCTGAATAAGAAATTGTTAACAATAACGATATCTTTTTTGTACATAAAAATAAGATGCCTAAATAACACAATTCTAGTGTAAATAACTTTAGTTTTATTAACACATCGTTGGATAGAATTTGATGCGGTGATCATGATTGTATAGATTTTGATCTTTGCAATGGCGTTTGAAGAGAAAAAATTGCAATTTTTGACCATTTTTATTGCTAAAATATTTAGTACTATATTCTTGTCTTATTCGTCATCTAAAGTTGAGTATGGCAGTGTAGAGAATCACTCCGCTGATATCCAATTTTACAAAGCTATCTAGTTTTCTGTACGAAGAAATGAAGCCAAATATTTTTACTTCATCAGAATCTTTCGGGGACGGGTTTTAACAGCATCTATTTAACTTTTAAGGTTTTCGTGTTATTATTGAGAAAATGGAAATTTTCTGTCTAGAGGGTGAAAGCTTGCGAAAATTCAGTCATTCTGATCATCACATTTTCAGAAAAGAGCAAAATCGATGTTATATTCGGAAACAAATTAAAAAACTGCATCAAACCGCATACATGTCATCAAAACACTTTCCAACAGAAACTCATCTCTACTCTTTATCAGGTCAAATTTTGGAAAAATTTTCTCTATGGTCGATTCGAGGGTGAATTTCTGACGGGAAAAAGTTTTTAATGAAATATCTATGGTTCGATGTAGTTTTCTAAGCTGATTCCAAATATGACGCTTATTTGACTTTTGTCTAACAATGTGATGGTCAAAATGGTTACATTTTTTGCAGGATTTCGTCGTTTATACCGAAATGTTTATTTTTCCACAAATAACAGAAAAACATTTAAAACGAAATGAATACTGTTAAAACCCGTTTTTGACAGGTCCTAATGAAGAAAAACACTTGGCTTCATCTCTTCGTACAATAAAACTAGATAGATTTGCAAGGTTTGGGCAGTAAGAATGGTCAACAATTTGAATTTTTCTTAAGCACACAATTGTTACCCATTTTTATACTCTTCAAGTATTTCTGAATTCCAGTGTCCTATCTAAATTTTCTCTTCCGGAGTGACACCGCCCCTTCGACTCCACACTGACTAAGACACTGCCAAATTCATACAATATTTAGTTATCTCCTTTTTGTTTGTTACATGTTTTACAAGGAATCGTGTTGTTTTATTAATTGAATCTATTTTTAAAATATTTTCTGACATGTCACTGCTTCTCTTCTTGCAAATTATTTCAAACTATTCAAAATAGATTATAAATATTATTTATTTTTTTTGGTTAGACAACATCAACATTACCAATATCATATTATGCAAACCCACCATTTCCATATTCATCTAAATTATATACAACACGTCCAATGATGATGAATAACTCATTGAATAATACAACGAAATTACCTATTGCTATTGTTCCACCGTTTACAAAATGATATTTTTTTTTCTTTCTTTCGTTTTGAATTAATTTTATTCTATAATTTGCAAATCTAGTCATGATAAATATTCTAATATTTATTTATTGTCGTTGCTAATGTTTTTATTTTTATTCTTATATAACAGTGAATTTATTTCATTGAAATCATGAAAATAAATTCAATAATTATAATGTGTTTGTGTCTTTGTTCCGTCTCAAAAAAATTCTCTAATTTATATGTCTGATATTTATTAATTGAATTGTTAATCTCTATTTTGAAAATTGTACATTAAAATCAAAAATAAAAATTCATTCTTTTGATCAAATTTTTTTTGTCTTTCTTCTTTTCTTTAAAATAAATTTTAGAATAATAATAATAGAAGTTCATTATTCATATGTTCGGTTTTGTTCGAAAGAAAAAAGCTAATCAAAATGATGAAAATATTGAAGAATTGGAAAAAATTGTACAAGCATTGGATAAAGATGGAAGTGGTCGAATACGCATTGTAGAGTTAGAAGCTGCTTTACAACGTATCGATGACGATAATCGATCTAAACCGGAAAGAAAGAATCAAGTCACAAAATTCAGTGAGTGAAGCTAATTATTAAAAAAAAAGTATAGAAAAACAAGGAACAACAATTTATTTCTCTTTTTATTCTATATTCATTATTTATATACTTCAGTTAGGTCACTCAAACCAAAAGATGATCGAATTGATGGACATAAGTTTCTTCAAATAATGCTTGAACGACAAAAACAATTAAAATTAAGGTAGACTATCTCTTCTTTTGATATAATGCAGTGAGTTCAAGATTCGTGTTGCTCTCACAGGAGCTTTTGAGTACTTTATGGATTTTTAACATTTGGCTATAACATGCTTCTAAATTTTTAGTTTCCTAATATTTTTTTGAAAAATGTTTCATAGCATACTATAGAAACTCGATAGAAACTTTGCAAGTATCCATGTTTTGACGAGAAATCTATTTCAAATGATAAATCACTTTTGAATTCGAACTCTATGCGTAAAGTTGATCCTATAGAAATATCAAAAGCCTCAAAAGAAGGAATATCCTTAGATCTGATCTCTAGAGTTTTAGCCATTTTACCTGAATTTCAGACTATGACAAAATATGTATCAGAAATATTAAATGACGATATTTCGACGTTAACTTTCGCTTACAGGTCACTCTACTTCTGACTAGAATGCTTTCTTCGTGAGTTATTTACAAAAAAAGTCTGAGATTTTCGCAGGATATGAGTATTTTTTGGAAATTTCATGTTTCGCGAAGGAAACGTTTTACGAACACATAGATTGACCTGTAAGCGAAAGTTGTGATCGAAATACTGTCATTCAATTTGTTGGTACATACCCTGTCATAGCCTGAAACTCATATAAAATAAATATACCTCTGGAAATGAGATCCAATGGCACTCACTCTTTTTAAGTTTTTCATATCTCACTAGGATCTATCTTATTAGAGAGTCTGAATTCAAAAATGATTGATCAGTTGAAACCAAATACTCTCGTGAGACAAAGCTCAGTAGAGTACTTGAAAAAGTACCCCTACTGGCAACGTATCTAGTCCACGAGTAGTACCTTGAACTCAGTACATTCACTAGGGTCATTTTCACATAATCATAATTATTTCTTTTAGTTTTGAAGAAATCGATCTGAATAAAGATGGTATTGGTAAGTTGAAAAATCTTCTATATTCATATATATATATATATATTAATAATTTATTTTTTATCTTTAGTCGATCCTATTGAGTTAGCTAAAGCATTTTCACGTTTGAAAATTGTTTTGAGAAAAAAAGATTTAATGAAAATTATTGAAGTACTTGATAGAGATAAAGATTTTCATATAACATTTTCTGAATGGCAAACATATTTTCGTTTTGCACCATCAACTGAACTAGAAGCATCACTTCGTTCTTGGCGTCGTGGGGTTCAATTAGATACAATTAATGAACAACAAATGCCTAACTCATATACTGAAAAAGAACGTGAAAATGGATTTTATTTACGACATTTTATTGCTGGCGCACTTTCTGGAATGGTTAGTCGAACAGTTACAGCACCATTAGATCGATTAAAAATTTATATGCAAGCTATGGGAAAGAAAAAATTATTAAATACAGCAACGTAAGATTATGTTGATTTCGAATTAGAAGTATAAGCTGATCGACTGACGAAGGAACCTCCTCCGATTTCAATGTTTCTTTTTGTCTACAGATACTCCATCATGTTTTAAGAATCGTTCTGAAAAGATCTGGATTCCAGTTGAAATTTCACTAAGCTATCGTGTTTTGATCTGAAACTTTGAAAATAATGCAGAACTCAACTAGAATAGCTTCCATGAAAAAAATTTGGAAGTTTTCAGCCGTCGCTGTTGATTAATGGATCGGCTTATACCGCTGTTTTGAATTCAACATAATTTTTAATATTTTTATGTTTTAGTACTTTATATGGAGAAGGTGGAGGTGGTATTAGAGGTATTCGATCATTCTGGCGAGGTAATGGTATTGCAGTATTTAAAATGACACCAGAAATGGCTCTTCGACAAGGTATTTTTGAAACATTTCGGGAACTTCGTGGTGATTTTGATGAAATTGTAAGATGGTTTACTGTTGTATATGAATTTCTTGAACATCTTCTTATAGATTGTTTCGCCAGTAACAAATAAAGAATTATTTGGTCTTGGTTGTCTGTCTGGTTTCATTGCTCAAACATGTATATATCCATTAGAAGTGCTCAAAACTCAAGGTAAAGAAAACAAAGTTCTTACTAATGAAAACATCTTTATCGATTGTTTTATCAATAGCTGCAATGAGAACAACTGGTCAATATAGTTCCATAATGGATCTTATTCGAAAACTTCATCAAAGTGAAGGTTGGAAAGTATTCTATCGCGGATATGTAGCGAATTCTCTTGGAGGTAAACAAAAAGAAAATTTGAATTTGTTTATATGAAAAAGAATTTTTTAATTATATATAGTATTTCCTGCTGCTGGAATTGATTTTGCGCTGTATGAATATCTTCGACGAGTCTATCGAGAAAAAGTCACATCATTAGAAGAGCCTAGTAGATATAAGAATTTTTTATGATACAAAAAAAAAAAAGCTTATACTTTAACTTTTGTAGGTATATGGGCTTTAACAGTAATATCAAATGTAAGTGCTGTAGCTGCAATGTATGTTTCATATCCATTGTATCTTATAAGAACAAGGCAGCAGTATCAAATTGTACCAGAAAATATGTTTGAAATGATGGGGAAAATATGGAGGTATAAAATAAGTTAATTTTTTTATTATTTTACTAATAATTTTTAATAGAATTGATGGATGGCGTGGTTTCTATTTTGGTTCATTACCAAATCTTATTAAAGTTTTACCAGCATCAACAGTTGCATATTTAACATTTGAATATTTTTCAAGTCTATTCGATATTGATGGATAAATAGTCTTCTTATTTTTCGTTTTTGTGCGTATGCCTTTGTTTTTCTCGTCTTTTATGTTTATTCGAGCATATTTATTCCATAATATGTGGAGAGAACAATCTCTATTTATTGACAACGAATGCACATGATACTTAGACGTATTTTTCTAAAGATTTTGTCTGTTTTTTGTATGATGAAAATGATAGATATGTCTTTTTTTACTCTTATTTCAAATGTCTCTTCGATCAAACAGTCAATATTTTTTAAAAACAATATATGTATATATATATATAGGTGTATATTTATAAGCTATCGATTTCTTACGATGTAATAATAAATAATTATTTCAGATGGAAAATCCCTTATATGTTGCTAGACAACCATCCCCGATTACTGACGGTTCAGAGAGTCAAATAAAGATCTCATTTGTTGAACCGTAAGTGTATTCGATATCTTTAATGTCAAAATGCCTTTTGTCTTTTATCTAGTGTTCTATCTGTTGATGATTCCAAATCAGTAGAACAAACACCATTTGAGTGAGTACACACAATTTGATTTTTAGTTTTTATTCATGGAATTATTATCTAAATAGTATATTTCAATACAAACTTCGTCGTATACTGGAAAGTATTGGTTTTCGATTGGCTATTGCAATTTTATTTATTTCTGATTTGGTTATTATTATTACTTCGACAATACTTGGATTTAAAGATAGTGAGTTTGAAAAATAATCATGAATAATTAGCTTTTTGTTTCTTTAGAGGATTCTTACATATTGGATATAATTAGTTTGAGCCTTTCTTGTATTTTTATGTTGGATATTCTTCTTCGTATTGTTGGTCAAGGGTAAACAAAATATAATTTTTTTTCTATATGATTATTTCTCTTCTTCTAAATAGACGAGAATTTTTTCAAAAGAAACTTGAACTACTCGATTTATTTGTAATGACTGCTGGTCTTGTTGTCAATATTGTACTTATGTCTCCGGCTGTCAGCCATCAACAAGGACAGATCGGAAAGTATGTATAAATCTCAAGAAGCTAATAGGATTAAGACAGGTTTTTGTTCTTCTAAATATTTTGCATGTATCCAATAACTTCAGAAAGTTAATAGATCGATACTTTCAGTATGAAGCAAGTAATACATAATAGATTCATGATAGATTCTTTTTTAAATCAAAACCTAAAACATCCACAAAAATCAATGTTCTTTGAAGTTATTTTTGGAGAAAATAAAAGATAAGTTTTCTATAATTTGCTATAAATACTAGTATATACTATGTTCGACTATTTCTTTTTTTTTTATTCTCATAGAGTTGTTGTTTTACCGCGTATATTTCGAGTAATCAACTTAGTTCGAACGATACGTATTATTCGTCATCGAGATCATTTCAAAACAGGTTCTCGTCATTTAGTCGGACAAAATAAAAAACGAACTATTGGAAATGGATTTGATCTTGATTTATGCTGTATAAGCGGTAAGTTGGTTTGCATAGTTCTTCACTAATGCCTTTAGGACGGAGCTAATATTTACATTAAAAATAAAAAACATAAAAATATTTTATTTAGATAGAATTAT